GGAGTTGAAGTCCACAGGTCTTAAAGAGGCCGGGGTTGTCCATCCCTGGTCTCTTTATCTTAATCTATGGCAAAAAAAAATCAAACCTTTTTTTCTTCTGCATGTTTTGAGGAAGCTTATTAGCACCCACTTTGAATCAGAAATTAAGATTGTTTGTGTGGGGGAAAAGGGAGTAATGACAAACTTACTTCTTGCCTAAGTTGAACTGTAGGGTTTCTCCAGCTGGTATAAATGGCCAGTTACAAAGCAAAGCAAGGTTTTTTTTTTGTTTGTTTGTTTACAGATGCTAGTTCTTCTTCTTTTTTTTTACAGGTAGTGTTATGTCATGGATTCTTTGGGCTAATTTTGGATCCATGGATGTAAAAAGAGCTGTGACATCGAATGATGAAGGTTCTTTTGTCTTCGCCTTCGATCATGTCTTTATTTAGAGGCTCTGTAGTGAGGAGTTCTTGGAATATCTGCTTCCCTCTGGGAGGCAGCTGAGCCTTTTAGTCAATCCTTCAGCCACGTTGTATGTTGGGAGTCCCTGAGAATGATACAACTGAAGGGCTGGCTTGGTCTTCTTTGGCGATTTGCCCTTTCTTGGCGAGGTTGCTGAACGTTCTTTTCATCCAGATGATTCGTTTTTCTGTGGGATTGATGTTAAGTTTTGTCTTCGAATAATTCTTTTGCTTTTTGTACGTATTCTGACCCTTATCATGGATACATCAGAATACATACAAAAGGCAAAATAACTTTTATTAACCTTTATCTGCTGGAAGGATAACGATAATTTGGTGCTTCTTTAGGTTTTTTGAGGGCTGCTCTCTTCTGGCTTTGTTCTTGTCTTCTTTCTGATGCTATCTTGGGTCTCTGGGGAATCCTGTGGTTTTAAATGCTCCTTCTAAGGCTGGCAAAGAATTCTAGTTGACTGGCATTCTCCTGGATTATAGTTTAGGCCTTTCTGCAGGATGTTGTGTTGGGCGGTAGATAGTGGGTGGCTGTTGTGGAGTTGTGCTGCCAAATAATGAAAATGGGAAAAAAATCTAAATATCAGAATATCTTACAAAACTACAAAACAGAGTCTATATATTCAGGGGTTGGCAACTCTGGCCCCTTTATGACCTGTGAACTTCAACCCCGAGACTTCTGGGAATTGAAGTCCACAGGCTTTAAAGGGGCCAGAGTTGCTTACACCTGGGTCTATATCAACCAAACGGTAGCAGAAAAATCAAAACTGTTTTCCTGCTGGATGTTCTAAAGGTGCCCATTAGCCTCCACTTTGAATCAGAAGGATTTTCTGTGGGGGAGAAGGGAATAATGCAAACTCACTTCCTGCCTAAGCAATAGCACTTAAGACTTATATACCGCCCTCTCTAAGCGGTTTACAGAGTCAGCCTATTGCCCCCAACAATCTGGGTCCTCATTTTACCCACCTTGGAAGGATGGAAGGCTGAGTCAACCTTGAGCCTGGTGGGATCTGAACTGCCAAATTGCAGGCAGCTGGCAGTCAGCAGAAGTAGCCTGCGGTACTGCACTCTAACCGCTGCGCCACTGCGGTTAAGCTGAATTGCACATTTTTTCTTTACCAGATAGTATTGATGGCCAATTAGTTTTTTGTTTTCCATAGCTGCAATTGGATTGCATTGCACTATGTGATAGATGACAGTAGTCCAAGCCACTTTCTGAATTTCTATCCAGTTTACTATTAAAGCCAAAGCTCAGGTACCAATCAGCCCATTCGTTCTTGAAAACTATTAAGGAAGCAATTCAACTCAGATCTTAAGTCACTATGTGATGCTACGTGATGCAGATCAAGTACCTGAAAGACAACTATCTGCAGAAATGGACACCATGTTTAACCTGGGGGAGCGGGGAGCTCAGAGCAAAGAACAGCCCCATCAAGCAGATACTGAGGAGAGACTCCAATTAAAAAATTCCAGCTGAGTTTCAATGGCTTCATTTGGCTGCAGAGACCAAGGCCCATATGCTTTTTAGCCCAATGACACCACTTTTCCTCATAAACTTTCCTAGTCTGCTACCAGATTAGAGATTTCCAAATGTAATCCATCGGGGGGGGGGGGGGGGCATTGTGGCCGCCGTTGCCCTTTGTTGAAACTTTTAGGAGGCCAAGAAAACACAATGAGACTGAGTGAGAAAACACAATGAAACACAATGAGATCTGAGTGAGGAGAAATTGAGCAAATCTGAAGTACCACAATAGACGCGGGAGGCTGAATGCATCCATTTTCTAAGCTGAGGTATTTCAGGACTGGCGAAATCAGAAAAGCTTCTTGCGAAGAACAATCAGCTCAAAAAAAAATTTTTTTGCCTCAGCGAGTCGTCCTTAAAACCGTCATTTTAAATGAAATACATGCGCATTCAGTGGGTTTGCTAGCTCAAAGACAGAAAAAACAAATCAGGTATGTATCGATTCGCAGCATTATCTCAGGTTCTGCATCATTTACTGTGTCCCTTTTCTTATCAACGTTTTTTCAGGTAGCCAATTTGTTCAAGCCGCCTCAGGCTAACAATTTCCTCTGCACTCAGGTTCCGATCAGTGTTAAGATTTAGTTCATATTGGAATCATTTAGCAGTTGAACTAAAAACAGTCATCATGGGAACAGCAGTGCAGATTTTAAATCCAATTTTGTATGTACGTATGTATGTATGTATGTATGTATGTATCCTAGTTATCTGGATTATTGAATTTAGCAAGCACTACCAAGAATTCAGAACTCATCATTACTTCATAAATGCAAATTTCGAATCATATAACTGCTTTAATATATTACGATAAAAGGGTGAATGAAAAGTATGCACACTCATTGTGCCAAAACAGTGATTAACTCATTGTCATGCAAAATTTCTGTTCAGAAATGCAGTTATACAGGTATAAAAGCCAATGTCTGATGTTCGGAAAGAATTATACAGCTAAGCGCCGAGAGGGGAAAGAAAGGAAAATTATAGCTAAATACCTGACTTATATTTTGCTTGTTTTTAAGACTTTATTTAAGTTAGCTTCGATCTTCAGAACGTTAAATTTTTATTTGCCTTGTCTTCTAGGCATTCCATTTAAATGTCTTGAATTCTAACAAAATTGCCACTCATTTTCTCCTCCGGTACAAGTTTTTCTTTTTCTTGGGAATTTTGCAGCTCAATATGAAACACCTGTTGTCCTGGAAAAGAGAAATCAGCAGGGCATGAAAGAAAAGAATATTCAAGTTAAGGAAAGGGAAGTAAAAGCCAGAGCATGACAGGACTAATGAAACAAGCTTTGGTTACTGGCAACTTACCACTATTTTGGCACCAATGTCTTCATTACTAGAGTCCTCGTTGCTGAAACAGAACAATTATCCTATTAAGACTTATTTAGAAAATTTATATACCGGTCTACCTGCCCAAAGTGATTCTAGGCCGCTTACAAACAATAAAACACAGTATAAAAATTAAAAAAGAAATAATCTGGTCCCAAGCTATGAAGGAGCTTAAAAGTGACATCCATGGTCATTAAATGGTTTTAAGTGAAGGACTATCCATACTTGTATTATGTTCAATGGAGAGAATAGGGACAAAGCTGACTACAATTTTGCTTTGGGCAGCTAAATTCTTAATTCCTGAAAATTTGGATACTTTATCAATGGGGAAAAAAGGCCTTCGAGTAAAATTTCATCGGAAGCATTACTCAAAAGGTATTAGATAAAACAATATAGCCTATCAGGATTATATGTTGACACTAAAGAGCCAATTTCAACTATCACACAATTGTGGTTCTGGTCTTTAGGTTGTAAAACCCAATTCAGAAAGTCTCGTTATACCTACCTGGTCTCTGCAATGGGAGAAACGGGTCCATCATCATCCAGGTATTTGTGTCTCCGTGATTCCAGACATTCATTTTCAAGATCGCCCACAGCATTCAACTGTGTCAAGGACTTCTTCAAATGATGTTCATATTTCAACATTTCAATGTATTTGAAAAATCCCTTCAAAGCTGCATGCTGGGAAGAGAAAGATTTTTTCTTTTCAGCCAAAAACAAAAGTGCAAGCCTAAAACCCACTCAAGTTAATAGGTGACAAGACTGTCAACTGGAAACACTAGCACTGATAATGTTACCTAGTTGGGTAATGAAACGTCCGCAAGGGGCGTTGGTGCTTACCTGATACGCCTGTTCTCTTTGAGCTGCTCGGAGCATCCAGTAGCGCGAGGTGCTTCAGTCTCTGCATTTGTAGGCTGAGCTTGAATTGAGGAACGCTCCTCCTCCTCCACGTGACTCCTCCACAGCGTTCCCCAGTTTTGCGAAGACAGGAGGAAAAAAAGGTGCTCTCATCCCTACTACCTAAAGAGAGGTCCCTTGGCCGAAAAAGAAGCGAGGTCCCACCAGACGGAAAGAGAGAAAAGGGTGGGGCTGGATGCTCTTCGCAGCTCAAAGAGAACGGGCGTATCAGGTAAGCACCAACGCCCCTTCTCCTATGAGCTGCGAAGAGCATCCAGTAGTGGGACAGACCAAAGCTTGGCCTGTCCTACGGGTGGGACTCCGTCTGGCTCGGAATCTCCTCAGGGTCCCTAAGAACCCGTTGCAGAACCCGTCTGCCAAACGAAGCCTCTGCCGAAGCAAACACATCAATTTTGTAGTGCCTGATGAAAGGAGATGGGGAAGCCCAAGTCGCCGCCTGGCAGATTTCGATTATTGGTGCCTCGGTAGCCCAAGCTGCCGAAGTTGCCGCACTCCTAGTGGAATGCGCAGTTATGCCTCTGGGCACCTGCAGGGCCTGGGACTGATAAGACTTAGCTATGGCCGCCCTGATCCAGCGGCCTATAGTGGACAGTGACACCCTGTGACCTTGTGTTTGGGGCTGAAATGAAAGAAATAAGGCTTCCGATTTTCTGAAGGACTCAGTGCGCTTGATATAGATTCTCAAAGCGCGCCTTACATCCAGTTTGTGCCATTGACGTTCTCTTTCCTGCGATGGTCTGGGATAAAAGTTCGGAAGGATGAGCTCTTGGGCTCTATGGAAGGCTGAATTGACCTTGGGCAAGAAGGTGGGATCGGGACGGAGAATCAACCGATCGGCGTGGAAAACACAGAGGTCTTGTCTAACAGACAAGGCTGCTATTTCTGATATGCGCCAAGCGGATGTAATGGCTACGAGGAAAGCCACCTTATATGTTAAAAATTGGAGGCTTGCCTCCCTCAAGGGTTCGAAAGGTTCCTTGGTGAGAGAGAGAAGGACTTTGTTAAGGTCCCAGGTGGGGTAACGGTGCACTGCTGGGGGTCGCAAGTTGGTGGCCCCTCTAAGAAAAGCCCTTACACGTGTGTGATGGGAGAGGGAAGTAAAGCCCTCACAAGAAAGAACTGATGTCAATGCGGCCACCTGTTGTTTTAGTGTATTAGGAGACAGCCCCTTGTCAAGTCCCTCCTGAAGGAATTCTAAAATCTGAGCTATAGAAGGGGAGATAGGGTTAATTTGAAACTTGCTACACCATCTACAGAAAATGGCCCATGTGGCGTTGTAAATTCGAATGGCTGAGGGCCTTCTAGCGGCTAGAATGGTGTCAATGACCTCGTTGGAGAGCATTTCGCTCCTCAACCTGCTCCGCTCAACCTCCAGATGGTTAGTTGGAACCATTGAGGCTCCGGGTGTAGGAGCGGCCCCTGAGATAGGGAGATCCTGTCTGGTGGAATCTTCCAGGGAGGGGCCACCGAGAGAGTACGGAGGTCTGCCAACCACGGCCGTCTGGGCCAGTGGGGTGCCACTAGGAGCAGTTCCGCTTTCTCGTGGAGCAATTTCTGAATCACCCTGGGCACCAGTGCTAGAGGGGGAAATGCGTACAGGAGCCCGGTTGGCCATGGGCAGCGGAGCGCATTGTAATCCTCCGCCCCTTGGGATGGCTACCTTGAAAAGAATCTCGGGAGCTGGGTATTGAGGGGGGGAGCAAATAGGTCTACCACCAGTTGACTGAATATCCTTGCTGCTTCTTTGAACAGGGATGGGTGGAGGCGCCACTCCTAGTGATCTATGGTGGCCCTGCTTAACCAGTCTGCTTGAGTGTTTGATAGGCCCGAGATGTGCTCTGCCTTGATGGACAGAAGACTGTTCTCCGCCCAGCGACACAGGCGCTCGGCTTCCCTCATTAATTGTATTGATTGCGTGCCCCCCCGTTTGTTGATGGGTGCTTTGGCTGTCACGTCGTCTGTTAAAATGAGAATCTGCTGCCCGCGTACCTGGGGGAGAAAACTGCGCAGGGCCAGGTGCACGGCGCGAAGCTCCAGCCAGTTGATGCTGCACGCCTGTTCTACTGCAGACCATCTGCCCTGCGGTGTGAGTGACTGGACGTGAGCGTCCCATCCGTATAGGCTGGCTTCTGTGGTGATCGTCAGCCTTTGAGGCTCCTTGAAGAAGCACCCTTTGTTGATGACCGGTTTGGCCCACCAGAGGAGGGACGTGAGGACCTTGAGAGGTACCCTGACCGTGAGTTTGGAACTGCTTCTGCCGGATCTCTGGTACGGGAGCAGGAACCACCGGAGGGATCTGGTGTGAAGACGGGCCCAGGGAACAATAGAAATGCATGGTATCATTTTCCCTAGTAATTTTGACAAATCCGGTAAGGGTACCCCTCCTACGGTGCCTGATTTCCCTGACCAATTTTTGAATACTAAGGAGTCTATCTGGGGACAGGTAGACCTTTGCCTTCCACCGTGTCAATGACTGCCCCTAAATGAGTTATTCGAGTAGAAGGGGATATAGCTGGCTCTTTTTCCAATTGATAAGAAAACCGTGTTCTTGGAGAGATGTTAACGTGGTCTGGGTGTCCCTAGCTGCTTGGTGGGCAGAGGGGGACAGGATTAAAATGTCGTCCACGTAACATTGGAGACAAATGGGAATGTTCCTAAGGTGGGCAGCTAACGCTGCGAGGACCTTGGTGAAGGTTCTGGGGGCGGAGGCCAGTCCAAAGGGAAGGGCCACGTATTCAAAGTGCTGATTATTGTAGCAGAACCTTAAGAATTTGTAATGGGACGGCCGAATGGCAATGTGTAAATATGCTTCCGTCAAGTCAACGGATGTGAGCACGTCCCCTTGTCTGATGCCCAGCAGTATCGACTGCAGGGTATGCACTTTGAATTTGCGGTATGTCGGGAAGCGGTTGAGTAGTTTTAAATCTAAAATTGCTCTCCACCCCCCCCACCCCCCAGTGTTTTGGTACAATAAAGAGGTGAGAATAGAAACCCCGCCCTCGGTGCTTGGGCTGTACAGGTTGGATGGCTTTTATGCTTAGGAGATGCTGGATAGCGGAATCCATTAGATTTCACTTGACCGGGTCTCTGGAAAGGGGGGATGACATAAAGAAATTTGGGGGAGTGGATTGAAACTCAAGGGCAAGCCCAAATCTAATGGTGTCCCTAACCCAAGAATCGGAGGTAGAGGAGTCCCATTGACTAGCGAAGGGCTTAAGAGGTCCGCCAATGGGGAGAGTGTCCCTTGACCTATCTCGGACGTCGGAAGGGCCTACTGGGAGAGAAGGGGGCCTGATAGGAGGGCCGAAAGGAACCCCTCCGAAAGGGCTGGGCAGATCTGAACGAGGGGGGCCTCTGATACCTGGGAGAGAAGGGGGCCTGATAGGAGGGCCGAAAGGAACCCCTCCGAAAGGGCTGGGCAGATCTGAACGAGGGGGCCCTCTGATACCTGGGAGAGAAGGGGGCCTGATAGGAGGGCCGAAAGGAACCCCTCCAAAAGGGCTGGGCAGATCTGAAGTCTGACCTTCGAGTAAGGGAAGGAAGGAATTTTTTCTTACTGCGGGTCTCCATCAGTAGGGGGTCCAGGGAAGGGCCAAACAACTTGTCTCCTACTATGGGGGAAGAAGCCAGCTTGGCTTTATTCTTAAAGTCAGCTTGCCAGTGTCTGAGCCAGAGCAGACGGCGGGCTGCAACGTGGGATGTAATTGCCCTTGCAGAGAATTTAACTGCATGATAAGTGGCATCAGCAGAGAACTCGGCTGCAGCGGTGAGCTTGGCAATGTCCTGGTGTGCCCTGGTGTTGGATGAAGGGACATGTTGCTTGAGCTGACGAAGCCATCGAATGGATGACCTTGTGAAGAAAGATGCGGCCGTAGCCGATCTGATGGCCCATGCGTCCGACTGATGGGCCCTGCGCAGGGCCAGCTCGGCCCGCTTTTCCTCTGGCTTAAGGGCTTCCAGAGCATCAGTCAGAGTAGAGGAGGATGCCAGGCGCACTATGGGCTCATCTACCTCAGGTGTGTTTAATAAATTTGAGAATTCCGGATCCAAATTAAAGTATTTTTTGTCATGGCTGGAGGGGGCTGGGGGCACTACTGTAGACGCCAATTGCTTTTGCACTAGGTCTGCAAAGATAGGTGGGGCTGGGATAACCTCAGCCTCTACCACAGGCTGGTTAAAAATGAAATCCACGGGCCCCTCCGTTGAAGGAGCAGGGAAATCTGTTGGAGATTGCCTACTTAGGCCTGAAATGTTCTTGGCCTTGAATAATAAGGATTTAAATAGGTGTGGTTTAAATAGGCCCGCAAAGGCGGGCTGGTCAGGGATGAGCCCCTCGTCCTCGGACATCTCGCCTTCTAGGGGGTCAGCCTCTGATAGGGGTTCGCTGTAGTGCATAGACCCCAATTCAAGCTCGTCTGGTTCCATGAACTGGTCAAATTCTTCCTCCCCCTCTTCCTCCTCCCGCCTTTGAAGGGGGGGTTCCCTTGGCAAGGGTACCTGAACCTGATGATGTTCCGACCTGGGCAGGGATCTTACTGAGTGAGATTTTTGGTCAGAGGCCGCCGGATACTGAGTAGACCTAGTAGCTTGTTGGATGCCGTCTGCGATCCCTTGGCGAATAGCCACTTCCATCCAGGATCTTATTCTTTCTGGCACCTCCTTAATGAGAGACTCCTCTTGACGGAGGCCAGCTGCTGTTGGGGTGAAGGTGGCTTCTGGAGCCCTTCTAGCCGATGTTCCAGGAACCAGATCCTGTTGTTCCT